GGGGGCCCATAAGAACCACCAACACGCAGCCTCCTCTCCAGTGGCGTGAGCGTCGCCGCTAAGGCGTCGGAAGACGCCGGCCTTCGGGCCAGCAACCGGCCTCCGGGCCAACAACCGGCCTTCGGGCCAATATACCAAAGACCGCGCATACGCGCCGTGTATATACTTGTAAATAGTAGAAATAAACATATCGTACAACAAAGAATTGCCTCTTGACTCATAACGCCTTAAACTACTGAGCTCTCCTAAACCTGACACAAGCAGCGTGGGCGGCGTCTTATACGAGACCCCCACACAGTCTATTCGACTTTTATACTTATTGCGAATAAGGAGAAACGAATTCTAAGAGAAAGAACACTTCGCATTTCCATTCAACAAGCGCATAAGGTCTCGGTGCGCTTTAATAGTAAAAATATAATTACAGGATTGAGACTCTGACCCGCGAAACGTTAAATGACAGCATTAGCGCTTACAATACGAACGAATTTTGCAATCGATACGTCCATTGAGAGAAAAACGAATTGATGTACGAGACGGCCGACATGATCAGTATGTTGGAATTGATTCAACGGATGATATTTATTAGTGAAGATTGTTAATCGTTGTAAAACGCTGGAAAAAATGAACGTATCCGCGCTTTATATTCGACCGATTTGACACGCGTCGCTGAATATTGTTAATACCTAAGATTCGAGAGGACTTTTAATACAGTTAAACATTAATTTTTATATGTTCAAATCACGGTACGTTTTCATGCTGAATATTTTATTATAGGGATTGTATCCAACTTTCGGCACTAAATTATTTTGCTGTCTATTAATATAGCGGCTCAAAGTTACATGGCACATTCCGTAATCATCTGCCACTCGCCGTATGGGTTTTCCCTCATTAAGCACTTTTTTAACCGCCTCTTCGAAAATGCATTGAGGACTGAAGCCCCTCTCAGTCTTAGCTGTTACAATTGATACCGGTCTCCCCTACGTGGGCAAATAACGGTACCATTATTATTAATCAATAAATAAAAATTTACATATGACAGAGTATAGAAATTAAGATAAATTACCTTATCTAATCAAAATGTCAAAAGAAAGATTAAATAGGAGTTAAGAATTATGTATTTGATAATTGTCATCATTTGTCCAATAGGGTGAGGCAAATAATGACAAATAAAGCTTTTAATGAAAATCTAACTCGTATATACATGACTTACGGGAACCAGAGATCGGTAAAAAATTAATAATAAATTAATATTACTTGATTAATTTATTATCAATCAAGTAATATTAATTTTACCAGTAAAAATATTTTCCGATTAATTAATTACTTAGTAATCAAAATGAAAACGTTTTTAATTACTCAATTAATCAGTAATTAAACTAAAAAAATTTTTAATTACTTGATTAACTAGTAATCAAAATGAATAATTTTTTGATTAATTAGTAATCAGTTTGTAATAATTTTAATTACTTGCTCAATCAGATATTAGACATAAAAATTATTTCATTACTCATTGTCAGTAATCAATTTTTTGATTATTTAATTGATTATTTTCTTCATTATTTAATTAATAACACTGTGCGACAAAATTTGATCTTTTTTTACATCACGAGTGTGAATATTCATTTTCGATATATTTTTGTCTGCTGAACACGAATATGTTAACAAAAGTTGGTTATCACATCACAATTTTGAAAAAAAATGGTCTCAAACATGTATTTTAAACTAAAAATTGATGTCTTCACGTGGTGTTAACGAAATTAAGCAAAAAATGTAAGCTACTGCAACGTCTTGAAAAGCTTCAAAATTATCGTTTTTGACTTCTTTGAAGTCATTCTTCTCAAAATTGTGATGTAATATCCAACTTTTGCCAACGTATTCGTGTTTAGCAAGCAAAAATATGTCGGAAATGACTATTATTCGCACTCGTGATGCAAAATCATACGTCGCATTGTGTAAAGCACTAATTACATACAGCAAAAAAGATAAAAATTTAATTATTTATTTTTTAAATATAATTAATTGAAAGATTTTTGTATGACTGATAAAAAATAATTTAATAAACAAAATAATTTTTCAATATGTAAATATATTTATTCTAAATAAAAGTCTTTGTTTATGTAAAATATTATTATGCATGATTCACTGTTTCTAACAGTGCAATAGCTAAAGTAAATTTAATAAACATTTAATGATTAATATATAGGAAAATATATGATAAGCAAATATTAATTAAAAGGTATACAATATACCAAGTATTTTTTTTACGTGTTGTTAAAGATATAGTTCGTTTTTAAGAATATTCTTTTTTCAAAGCTATATCTGTGATTGAATTTCCCAATGTTGAACGTTGTAGCGAAACTAATCAATAATCATTCTTTTGACTGAAGCTGAATATGGCAACAAGATATTAAATTTAAGAAATGCTAATTTGATACTCTGAAGCTTACAAGGGACCCTCACAAACTGCACAATAGCTACAGCATAGAGAAAATTATCCAAGCATCTTGATTCCCTTTGGATCACTTTCCACCCAAAAACTAGACCGGAAATAAAATAAATATAAGTAATGAAATAATAAAATAAATAAAAAATAATAAAATAAATTTTATTTCTTTTTAATTTTTCGATGCTTGTCGTAGGGAAAACTTATTTAAAAACATTTATTTTATTTTTTTTTCATTTATTTTATTTTATTATTTATATTTATTTTAATTCCGGTCTAGTTTTTAGGTGGAAAGTGATCCAAAAGGAGTCAAGATGTTTGGATAATTTATCGAAAAATTAAAAAAAAATTTATTTTATTATTTTTCATTTATTTTATTATTTTGTTATTTATATTTATTTTATTTCCGGTCTAATTTTTGGGTGGAAAGTGATCCAAAGGAAGTCAAGATGCTTGGATAATTTTCTCTGTGCTGTAGCTATTGTGCAGTTTGTAAGGGTCCCTTGTTAGTATTTATTTCAGAAGTTCAACATAATCATCTTTTAGATCAAAATCTAAAAATTTTAAAGGTGATTTTGATTGATGAAGTAATTAAAATTATTACATTATGATTAT